TTCATCATGGTTTTCGCGCGTTGATCGGAGATCACGCTCCGTCATCCCCAAGACGTACTGATTGCTACTAGATGTCTGTGAAGACGGACCCGTCACATCTACGGATCAAAAGTCACTTACTTTCGTGACTGGAAATGACTGCAGAGGAGGTTGTATGCGCTGATCTTCTCTAATCAACTGGCACTCTGCACATCCAAGTATGTATTTTGTCACATCTTCTCTTATACCCGGACAGTACATATTAGTCGGTTGTTCTGGCCACTCCTGTATCCATTATCTAGTGACATTCTTGTAACATCTCGTGGCGTAGAGACTGAGTTATTACCACCAATCAACTTCCACCGTTCTGTCTCCAAGTCAGAGTTCCGTAGGCGTTCACCAATAAACGATGTTTCTGTCTGAGTAGCGTAGTCAGCTCTTTACTCGCCGCAGGTTGACTCACTTATGCTTCGTTAGTGATCACCCGCATGGCTGTGTTCAGGTTAGGGTAAGATTTCTGACTGTGGGCAAGTCTTAATGTGTATTGTTCCAGTGCATGCAATCAGTAAACAATCTCCGGTAACTCAGCTTCGTATTCAGGTCCAGATAAAAATTCTACGAAAGCATTTTCTTTGCAGGGATGCGTGAAACAGTGAAGTCGTACTTCTGCACGAGTAAAACTCACCGGAACAATATCCCAAATGGGCCTCTCGCTGTCCTCAGAAACTGTAGCGGCTTGTGATCAGACTCGATGTGGAAACGTTGGCCGAATAAACAAGGTCTCCATTTGTCTACCACCCATATTATTGCTAAACACTTTTTTCTGTTGTAGAATACTTCTGTTCTGTATTTGTTAAAACGCTAATGGCGTATTCGGCAATTCATTCACCCTGAAAAATACTGCATCAGTGTCGTGGTCACACGAACCAGTACACACTGTGGACTGATTCTTGAGTCCAGGCTCTCTAAATTGAAACCAGGTAAGCTCCTCGGCTGATATAATATACATCCCACTTACCAAACGTTTGACAATGTCTCTAACCTAGGCTAGCCTACCCGGGGACTGGAAGGATGAAACTATAAGTCCATTCTTCAAAAACGAGAACAGGCAGTTGGTATCTAAGTACCGCCATGCAAGTCTGACCTGCATTATAGCAAACGAATAGGAGACAATCATAAGGGGTCAACTCTTAGCTCATATGCAGAAGCATGGCTTACTGGCAGTGAGACAGAATGGATTTCGACCAGGACAATCCTCTCTAACAAACTCACCGTTAGATTGGGTCGAAGCCAGGGATAAGGACCCGCTATTGGACGTCGTTCGTGTCGGTCTTAGTAAACCATTCGATGAGTTATCCCATTTGGGTTTCCTCAGTAAACTCGAAAGTTTTGGACTAGACCAACGCCTATATGATCGGTTAAGCGACTACCTGGTGGATAAGAATCAGAAGGTAAGGGTTAATGGTGTATTGTCATGGCGGAAGGCAGTACTGAATGGAGTGCCTCAGGGAACTGTACTCTTCCCCTGCTATTCACATTATACGTAAATGAACTGCTGAAAATTCTTACATCATCCTCTTTATTATTTGCGGACGATATCAAGATATGGAAAACAGTGAATAATAATGATGATAGGTTGGTACCACTATAAAACGATCTAGATAAACTAGCTGGATGGGCTAACCTCTGGAGTCTGGAAACTAATTCCCACAAAAGCGCGGTAATGCACCTAGGTCAGAGATCTTACACGTCGTACTTCGTGGAGGACACAGAACCGTCAGGTGTTAAGGGACAAAAAGACTCAGGAATTATTGTAAGCCATGGCTTACAAACAACGACTAGTACCAATGGAGCCGCAGCCAAGGCTTTACGAATGCTTGGGCCACTTCGAAGGGCTTCCAAGCGATTAGACGAGTGTATGTCCCAAGTATTCCATGTAATATGTCAGGCCTCATCTTGAACACTGTATACAAGCGCTGATTCCATACCTCAATAAGGAGAAACATATCCTAGAGATAATACGGAGGGTAGGAACCAAATTAGTAAGTGGTATCTAACATCTTCTTAATGATAAGAAAATGGGGCATTTGAATCTCTTCCTATTATCATACCGAGGGAGGAGAGTCGACTTCATTTTGGTATGCCATATACTAGAGGGTGATCCAGGGATTGACCTGTTTAATCTTTTCTCTCCCTCTGGGATAAACTTACGAGATTACAACAAAAAGGTGCTCATAACGAGGTCGAATAAAATACGTGTGGGATTTAGATACTCTCACAGAGAGGTCAACGGCTGGGACTCCTTAATTGATTCAGTGGCGACAGCACCATCAGTGTACCCTTTAAAAGAGTAATTGGATCCCTCCTAGGATATATATTGCACGGATTAGCATAGGCAACAAAAGCCTTCTATCCTTATCATCTGAATCTGAAACCACGTTTCTAGAGTCTTTATTTTCGATAAGTGAAACATGAAAAGCATCCTGTTATCCTCATCATTATACATGTTCCAGTCACGTACATCATTACTGCCACGCCTAACACAATTAGAATAGTATGGTGAATTTTACGGAATATTGATGCTAAATGTCGGACAGTGATATCTTCCCCCTAGTTTACTTTACTTAGTCATGAACAACACTGTTTGCGGAAATATATTACTCAGTGATCTTAACTTCATTCCGTCAAACAAGGGTTTAAATGAAGTGATTTTATGAATCAAAAAGATTCACTTCATGTAACCTAGTCAACAAGCTCTACTTTTATCCAAACACAGACTTATCACAAATTTCAGCTTCCATCTTATCTCCAGTTACAAAGCTAGTGGAAGTGATGGGTGCATTGTTCTTACTCAAACATTGTAGGCTGTGACAGTGTAATGAAATGTAAGGGTGATACACATGAGAGGTTGTGATAGATTTCGATTTGTATGGCATACATTGGATGAATTTGTATTCACAGTAATGTCTGTATTCTCTTACACTCCGAAGGTACAATCTAATTTCCACTGTAAACACGTTATCTAGGTTATGGTAAGTATTCATCCCAATGAAAACTTTAACTCTTTGAATTTTATGATTTCACACATTCTTCTGTTGAAATATATATGCACACAGGCATTAACTCCAGTTTAATATACAACTACAATGTACGCTAGGTAGTAAAATGTGATGACGACGTTGCATAGTCACGATCGATGACTGAGACAGACGAAAGCAAGGCAAAGTTGTCAAGTAATAGCCGGTTTCCGATATTCCTATAGCCGTCAGTATAGTTAGTGGGAAGTCTATTATAGCAGCTGCACAAGAAAGAAAATGAATAGAAACATCTTGTGACTAGTCGCTAAATGGTGAACAGACTTCAGATGTTCCTTCCATCTTCTGAAATATAAAAGCGATTTGTTTGTACTTGGAAATGTAAATGAGACATAAATTGTTTGGTTCACGTGTGCAACGTGCAGTAGTTTTACATTATGGGCAAATAAGGACAGCTTGATCAAATAATACACTCATCAACGTGAATCCGTCCACTGCAAACACTTTAAAGTCAAACTCCCGAGCGTTGACACTCATCAATGTAAGGACTCCAGACAGGCAGTCTACATATTCCTAAGTGGCGTAAAGCGACGATGAATGCACACCATCCACTGTTTTCCTGTCTCATCTTATCTGAGCTACACATGCTTCTCGAGTAAACTGACGGCCTAGACATCGCAATCAGTGCAGCTTCACAACCTGAAACTTTACTCCTACCCTTATTATTATTATCATTCAAAATATTTTACCATTTAGCACGAGAGATGCAACGCAAACACCTATAACGAAAGACATCTAGTCTCTTCAAATCATCATATTTCAACGGCCACGTCACAAACATAAGGATATGTGAGGGAAACTGTTGCACAACGCACACGACCATTGATCGATTTGGCTTTAGTATACACGGAAGTAAATCGAATTACTAGTAGAACCACTGGATGTCGCCATGATCCAGATGACATGTGATACTTGGTTCAGGAGCTACAGAGACTACTTCAAAGCAGATACTGCTGGTCAAAATTATCCTCTTGAAGTGCATCTCCCAACATGACAGTTGCATCCATTTGAACTTCACCAATATTACATACAGTATCATTCTGACACAAAATCCATGTAGTAGCACCTTCCACACCTCAATACAAGCTCTGAGATAAGATTTCGGGAATCATTCACACCTCTTTATCTGTCGATATGCTCCCATGTGAAGCTGATCATGAGGGAGAATGGTGATTATCTCACTCATCTTGGTATCTTTATTCGTCAATGTGGACGATTTAGACTGAAATCTTTGATGGATAATCGATTCAAATCGTTAATGATCGTCTGAAGGCTACAGTCACACAAGTCCACTGACATCAGAATGCAGCTGTTGAAACGCTCGGGATAATATTCAACGGTAACACCAAGAATCATATCTGCTGAATGTCAACAACTGACAAACCATCAGCAGGATACTAGTTCAACTCGCTCTAGATACTGGAGTGGTTCTGAGGTAGATGGAGTTCGTCAGATATATTCTCCATCTTCAGACTACCTTCTGATTAGCCTCCCTGGTTCCTATCTGACCATGAATCTTCCTATTTCAGGGAAGTTTCCTCCACCATCCTGTTGTCATTATGATGTCTGACATGTCGTTCATGCTAGCAATATTGATTCCCAGACTGTAACAACTTTGGTTACAAATGCAGCTTTCACCAGCAACACACAATGACATCCACAACGGCCATACCCCGAGAGTAGACGTAGACCCGATTCTCAAAGACTAAGTAATTCGCTTAGCTTCATAGCTCCTTGTAATATTTATGCACGTGCTGTCTGAGAGTATATGTGTGCGTGTGAGTGATCATCCAGTACCGTTAACAGTCGACACAACACTGGATATCACTACAAGAGACTTCTATCATCATCGTCATCTGAATGTAAATTTGTTCCTGTGTGCACTTTGCCCCGGGTATTTCAAACTTTCAAGGACAACCGGTAGTAATGACATCGAAAACTGACGGCATTCAACTTCTTCTACAGGCCGAAAAGAGTGCCAGTGAAAAAGTTAATGAAGCTAAACGGCGTAAGCTGCTTTTCGTTTTCTTTGATTTGGGTCATGTTTTGAATTCTACAAATGTATAGTTTGTACATGTAATACGGCCCTAATATGTTTGTTATACGATTCTGAAAAGCCCTGCAATTCACCTGTTATTTGTGACGAATTATACGTCAGTAGAAAGAAGTTCACACCAATTACTTTGGAAGTGTTGGTAAAATTTATCTTTCTTTGTTCTCGGTCAGAGTATTACAACGTCTTACATGTAAAACCAAATACTACAAAATTGATTTTCCTGATAGCTTGATACATAGAAATTAGGAGTGCTCAGGAGGTCTTTGCTTCCCTTAACAATAAGTATCCAGTCGTTTAGCATGATAAGTGCACCTCGGCGGGCACTCACCCTTACAAATTAACGAATATGACATGCTAACATCCTTAGATTGTGCCACACTTGGCTAATTTGAGGGATTCACTTACTAAGGTGCTCTGGACTTTTTCAATGTATCATTCTGATGGGAGGTGGGAAACTCACAGAACAAGTAAAGTTACAAGTCGAAAATCTTATCATATTAGCTTTAGCTGTCAACGCATTTCTAAAGTAACAGCTCGGTAATCATTCTCCCATAATCTTAAGTTGTACAATCACATCTCATTGATCAATGGCATATGAATAACTCATTAATGAGACAGTACAATGGACTCTGGAAATAAGCACGTCACTATAAGACTGTCACATGCTCATCATGGATGCAAAATGCTCACTTTCCATTCAGTATCATAGGTCATCATTGACATAGTCCAAATATCTGTTGAACAATGTATGCGCTGTGCACTAGTTCCCTTTTCCATTTTCCAAATGAGATCTAGTCAGCGGGCGTGGTGAGAAGCAAGAAATTGGAGGTTCCTGGATTAAGATATTACAGATAGTCTCCAGTCATTAATTCATGGCATCTCGAGAACTCCAGCTACACTTCCGTACGTGGCCCTTACCAACAAAGATTGATTCTCTGACTGACTGACTGGTTGTAACATAGAACTGCATCGATGTGCAGCAGTTCCAGTTGCCACACTACACTTAGAACACAAAACAAGAGAAGAAAGTAAAAAGAAACGCAAAATAGAGACAGTAAACGGAGATATGAGGCAAAAGGAACAGTAATATCGAAGGACAATATAGTACCATTGGGTATTATAAGTCACAAGGAGTGGATGCATCTGCACCAGCCATTGAGAACGATCACTTTGAGCCATATCACCAATTGTCTCCAGCCTTCATTGGTTTTTACCGTCCCGAAGACCCCAACCAGGATGTCTACACCTTCCTGCGTGACTGGCTTGAACTAACTGTTGTGGATTTCACTGACTGATGAAGCCATGTTTTGGTTTGACCACCACCGCCACTGGCTCTTTTCCGACTTGACCCATCCTATGTCAGCTAACATTGCCCTTGAGGAAGGCGGTAGCTAGTCATGCATACGTAACACTTGTCCTGACGACCTCAGTCGATGTAGCTTCTCAGACTCGTCCATTGATTTCCCCTCCCTCCTTACCTAGCACTCGACAGAGGCCTAACCTCAATATTGTTCACCCTATTATACCACCATCCGGAACGGGAGATAGGACGCAGGCACCTATGATCAGAGACTGCTAGCAAGGCTTTTCATCTCTTCCACTCTCAATGACCAGGTCTTACAGTCATAAAGGAGAACGAAGCGGACTGCTGAGCAGTAGACATGCCGTTTGGTCAACCGCCAGCCGGATATCACGTCTACTACGCCAGAGACGGTGTAAACTGGCATTTCCGAAACGAATCTGTGTGTCTCCGAAACACATCATACATCCATGGCTCGAGATGCCAGAATTCTTGCTAGTGATGCCTGTTATCCTATTTGGTAGAGGGTCATGACGTTGGATGCTCCTATATGTAGTTGGTGGTGTGGCTTTCAAAGGCTGTCAGGGGTGTTTCTATGGCTCTCATCGTTGTTTCCGATCACAGAGTGAAGTGAAGATGACTCACAAGCCTGCAGAATAGTACTAACTGTAGTAGAGAAGTACAATGATGAGAGTGACGTGGATTAAGGAGAATGATGCTGAGGAAGGCTTCGTGCGCTTTTGGAAGTGTGTGGGCGTCTGTTACTTCCCGGCTGCCCACACCGTGGAAGTTGATTGATTCTTCGGGTATCTGAAACAGAAAGAGTTAGTGTTGCATGACCGCAGTGCCCAGGGGACAAGTGCTTGAGGCCGGTCGGTCACACACGGCCTGTATGAACTGGTTTCTTGGTTTGGTTCCGTATCAGTAAACTAATCGCCGGTTACGGACCACCGTAGGGTAAGTGATGTACAATTGTTGGGATCGACGTTTTCTATACCCGCCTCTCTCCAGAGTGGAGAGACAGCATAGCTAGCATGCCGGACATCTGAGGGAAACACCTTGCTGCTGTTACATCCTTGTTCCCCAGTAGTACGACTTCGCCCACACACCCTCAGCATAGTATGAAAAGAAATTCTTACACTATGCCGGTAACTGCTTTTAGTTTAATCGCTATCCAAACAACTTTGGTTGCATGGTAGGACCTGTAGGAACATTGGTTCCAGGTAGTGTAGCTTGTTGGGTGATTGCGATATACAAGCCCGACCACCACGTCAAGGTAGCAGCTATCCGCCGGGGGACTGGTTCTCTGTTATGGTGTGGCCAACTTCAACTCTTTCCAAACCTGATCATATGTCACTTAGCATTTATCGTTGAAAAAGGAGATGATCCAGCGTGTGTAACATACGTCCTAGCTATCTCAGACGTTGTGAACTCACAACCACGTCGATTCACGTTCCCTCTATCCTTATTTAGTACTACGCCAAATCTCATTATTACTGACCACCTAACACGAGAAACTTGATGCAGACACCTATAGTCTTGGACGGCTAGCCTCTTCAGTTCTTCCACTCTCAACGGCTATGTCTCAAACGTGAAGAAGCGCGGAACAAACTTCCAGATATCATATCTGAGCCAAAGATAACACAGACTGACAAATGTCAGACTAACCTTTGATATCCATCCTGAGACTTTGCCAGAAATCAGTCCATTATGCCTGACACAACTTACCAATTGTGAAGTAGTCAACACACTGAACCACTTTACTTCTTACCCTTAAACTAGAGGTCGGTGAGGGCTAGTTTCGCAACACCGCCTTATATTCGACAGGGACAAGTTGTTTGCGGAACACTAATATTTCCACTCTGGGTGTTCAGAAGACTGTAGCTTTGCATCATTTTTATGTATTAAGACTGTGTGGTGTACATTCTATAGTTGCGTACTAACAGATCAATACACTCTCTAATTCGGTCAACATTTTCTTCACTAGTAAATTTCTTATGCACCTTAGTAAAGTTTAGCCAACCTTGACGGACACGGGTTATATGACAGTTTTGCATGAGCTTTTGCTCAACAGTATGCGTTTATGTTCAATGGAATATACTTCGATGTACTAACGTCATCACCAGTTATTGTCTCAGTACCTTTCGATTAGTGGAGTGCGCCACCGTTGTCAGGTCAAAAACATGCCAAACGTTGGACGCCGATGAGTATACCTGTGTCTAAGAATCTATGGAATAGTGAAATTAAGACATCGGCGAAACGCCTATCCGTTTCCACGGGTTTGCTTTTCTCGAGTATCAGTTAGTCGTCGCAAGTCTATGCGACGCAGAGTTTTACAAACTGTTATTCAAACAGTTTTCCGCGTGAAGATGTGTCCTAAACTTGAACAATCACTAATTCGTGGCAGTCGATTGGAACTATCTCAGAATCCCATAGATTGCTTAATATTTCTGAATGTGGTTAGTGTATGATTTTGCTCGTTCCATATAATTTTTATTCGCGTTTTCTCTCGTATCTTATTAATCGTTTCATATTGTGTTGCACGACGCACTTATAAGTGTACTTACAATGCTGACTTTTTGTCATAAATGCATAATTCCTAACTCCCTATTGAATTGCTCCGATTAGTTTATTTTTTCAATGTCAGCAAACCAATTGCGGACCAACGAATTGACGTTTTGTGTAAAATGTCATTTGACCGTCAGCATACTGTATATTGTAATTTCGTAAGGGAATTCTGGTGTAAAAATTAAACCTAATCTTAAAACTATTTCAGGAAAAGCAAAACGGTTGAAAGAAGCTAAAGCTGAAGCTCAGGCCGAAATTGAAGCCGAGAAAGCAGAGCGCGAACGCCACTTTAAACTATGCGAGGAAAAGGTAAGTATTAGTTCTTGTGTGGCTTTTGATAACTCAGTTTTCCAACCAATAGTCCATTATTGTGGGTAATAATTGTCATAGTATAGTAAAACTCTCTACACTTTCTCTCCTCAGGTACTTGGTCGTCGGTCAGAAATAGAGCTGCAGATTCAAAAGTTGACACAGGAGATAATCGACACGCAAACTAACTCAGTCAATATGCATAAAGAAGATGCTATTAACATGTTACTTAATTGCGTAATGCAGATTCAACCTAAACTTCATAAAAATTATCGCAGCGAAGCTAAAGGCTAGAAGTTTTACTGTTTTACTCTTAAATTTAGTGATATACTATCGGTTAATTGATTTTATCTGTGAACAAACTGCGAATGCATAATATTTTATCATTTGGTCTCTACATTATTCTTCCTAATATTTATGATTACCTGTAAACTGTTGAGCAAATAAATTACTGATATTATAATGTTTCGTTATTTGATTCCTATCAAAATTTGCTTGTTCTTGATTTCTGTGTGTTTTTCCTTTTTCGTATTCAGTCAGAGTAGGTTAATATCTACTTTTCTTATTGTACCAATACAGCACTGACTTGTGAATGGCTTCATGAGATGTATTGATAAGATAAGGCAATAAGAGTACCATAGCCGAATGATACTGCGTCATCGGATTCATTTTGATAATAATAATGATAAAGGTACTAATAAATGTATAAATATTAACGCAGATATATATTTTTTTCGGCAGTTAATGTCTGTATAATACAGAATAACGTGAACTATCAGAAATATCTGTATGTATGGTAATACTTATAAGTTAATTATTCAATTAGTTATTTGTATATCCAGGTGGGAAGAACTCTCTCAGAATAAAATAATTCCGCATTATTCTGCTACATTGTTCTGACTACTTTGTTTGCATTTGTTAATGAGATTTAGTGTCTGCAAACTTTCCATCTTATTTAGATTTCATAGTGTTGCTGTGTCCTAGATGTTTGAAACTCCCAACCATTTTTTCGTCCCACTCTGTGAAACAAGAAAAAAACTATTTATCTTACTTTGATTTTTGTCGTCATTGATTGAGTTTCATAGTTGATGAGCGAAACGTCTCAACTTTTTTAATGAGGTTGTGTAAAGTAAATGAAATTCATACGAGTGACTTAATCTACTGTAAAGCTCACGTGTAGTGGATATAATATAAGTTGGTAGTTACTTGCAAAATAGTGCACTGGGCCATGAATTTTGTTTAATTTAGGAAGACTGACTGTGCTCATCGGTTAATCAGATCATGATGGTGCGTGTGACCTTTTGAATCTGTACTTCAGATATAAGTAAAAAGCTCGACTCACACCTTAGTTTTCTTCCTTGCTAATTCATTCAAAAGTAAATGTTTTCTTCAAACAACAGTAATTTCCTATCAAAGTTAACTCAAAGCTATCTATAAACATTAACAGTCGTTTCTGTTGATTTCAGGCTGTGGTTAACTGGATCACCACAGGTGCATTTCTTTAATAACGGACTAGTGGTTAAATCATTGGAAACATTTGACAGACCATCCAGTTAATCTATCTTTGTGTGTATCGTTAGTCCCTAAATAGTATTTGTAGCTCATTGACAACTGCGTGCGAAAGCGAGTGGTCAATGAACACTACTTTATTTTCATGTCATCTAATGTTGGTAGTAAAACTAAATGAAGTATTAACATATACATATAAAGAGAACATACTCTTATAACATTTCCGTCAATTGTTTCTGATTACAAAAGACAGAAGTAATTTCCTGGTCTGAAAAGGATCGTGGTTTCTTGGTCACTCAGTACCTAAATTGGTCTCAAAAATGGAAGACTCAGCTGGGTATCGTATTAGAATAAAGATGCGCTGATCTGGTAGTATCATTCTCACGTTTAAAAACTGCTGTTTAAATGATTGGTTTCTACAATGAAATCGTGTGTTTACGTGGACCTTTTCATGGAAACACTATTTCACACATATTTCGTGTAAATCTGCCAGAAAATGCTGATTACCGTAGGGAATCCTGATTACATATTCCTATTAATTAATAATGTTCCCAATAAGAGTAGACTTTTCCCCTCTTGACTTTCTAGGGAAGAATGTGGTTTATTTGGAGCGTTTAGATGTCAGAGTCTTTCTGGATAAAGATGCTGCAAAGCTGCAGTCTTCTGAACACCCAGAGTAGAAATATTAGTGTTCCGCAAACAACTTGTCCCTGTCGAATATAAGGCGGTGTTGCGAAACTAGCCCTCACCGACCTCTAGTTTAAGGGTAAGAAGTAAAGTGGTTCAGTGTGTTGACTACTTCACAATTGGTAAGTTGTGTCAGGCATAATGGACTGATTTCTGGCAAAGTCTCAGGATGGATATCAAAGGTTAGTCTGACATTTGTCAGTCTGTGTTATCTTTGGCTCAGATATGATATCTGGAAGTTTGTTCCGCGCTTCTTCACGTTTGAGACATGGCCGTTGAGAGTGGAAGAACTGAAGAGGCTAGCCGTCCAAGACTATAGGTGTCTGCATCAAGTTTCTCGTGTTAGGTGGTCAGTAATAATGAGATTTGGCGTAGTACTAAATAAAGATAGAGGGAACGTGAATCGACGTGGTTGTGAGTTCACAACGTCTGAGATAGCTAGGACGTATGTTACACACGCTGGATCATCTCCTTTTTCAACGATAAATGCTAAGTGACATATGATCAGGTTTGGAAAGAGTTGAAGTTGGCCCAACCATTATTGAGAATCAATCCATCAAATCTTTGTTGGTATGGGCCACGTATGGAAGTTTAGCTGGAGTTCTTGAGACGCCATGAATCAATGACTGGAGACTGTGTAATACCTTTATTCAGGAACCTCCAATTTCTTGTTTCAGACTACGCTCGCTGACTAGGTCTCATTTGGAAAATGGGACAGGAAACTACAGCACAGTGCATACATTCTTCAACAGATATTTGGACTATGTCAATGATGACCTATGAAATTGAATGGAAAATGAGCATAATGCAAGAAAAGTTGGTGGAATGCACCATTTACTTGAAGTTGCCATCATTCACGGCAATGTCTCTAAAGCAGGATAAATTGGAAACATGCTTATATTTTAGCAGTTATCAGGCTTGTATTGGACGCTTATATTAAATCATCATACATAAACGATTTCATTGTGGCGCATTAGAGTCTGGACGGCATTGAGGCGTTACGTTTGTGAACGAGATATCTAAAATGTATTGTCATTTGCTTAAAGTTTCAGAATTAGAATGTGCTGTTCTATTTTCTACAAGTTTCTTTGAAGTACAGATTGTCAAGTAGGGACGATAGTATGTCCCACTATTCAGCGGAAATATATATCGGCTGCATATATCACATTCAGTACAACCACTCGTGAAATGGTGGAGGGCTAATGTGTAGTTGTCATCACTTTCTTTTGTGGTCTTGGACCATATTCCTCTTCTGTTGTTTGTAAGATGGAATTTACCTCTCTGTCATGGTGTTCATATCGTTATCCTCCAAGCGGGTCATACATTTTTACAACTACATAATTTTTTCGCGGTTAAACATGTGAATTGACTTTTATTATAAGAGTTTGGCTAAAGGGAATAGTCTCCATTATCCTCGTTCTGCAGTAATTTAATCTGAAAGGTTTTGCATAAAGTTTTCTGCTGAATATGGGTTTAAATTTAGGAGTCAGTTGGCATGAATGTGTATTACACTACTTTCTCACTTCGTGTTACTGTTTAGCGAAATATCTCCAACTTTAGGGGAAGCCACTTTATTCATATGGTTGGAATTTTTTTGAGTTGGAAAATGTGGATCATATTCCCTGTATAAAATAAACAGTGTAATATGCTTGATGTGTGTATGACAATCGTCGATTCCATGTTGAATAGAGTTTTGAGAGTCAACTGTTGAAGCAATGCAAAATAAGCTGTCTTGTATTGCTTGTTTTTCAAACGTTCTTCAACTCATATGTGTATATAATGCACATCTAAGGCGACTCTGTTCTAGTAGTTTCTTCCTTGCTCATCTTCAAAATACTAATGTCATCTTTTATCATCGTGAGTAATACTTCAGTAATTTGTTCTTCGAAATTTAATTAGCAATTCCATTGATTGTTAATATATTCTTTTTAGAACTACTTGATTCTTAACATCATGTGTAACTTTATTTTTTATATTTTATAGGAATACAAAGCTGAATTACATTATAAATGTACACAAATCGCTCGAGAAATAGCTAGTGAAGAACAGTGTGAAATCGATATGAATATAGTGTGTTTGGCTACAGAGTTGGTTTTTCGTTTTTATCAAGTTCTTGCTACAGATTTGGAGACATTTAGTAAACACGCAAAACGTTCCACTGTAACCGTTGAAGATGTATTCTGTTTTGTTCGAAGAAATCCCCGATTAGTGAGTTATATTTGATCAATATTATTAATGCGTTTAATATAACCTTAAGAGTAGTGCAATCCTTCCTAAATAACACTGTATTACTATAGCATTTATATATTCGAAATAAAATCTTTGTACGGTATGTCCACCACAAGCATAATAAACGGCAACACAAGGGAAAGAAAAATAGAATAATTGAAGAACTGTCCTATGAGACAGTTAAGAAAATCTGTGGAGCAAATCGAAGGAAGTGTCCTTCACTCTGCATCGAGTTCATGAAGACAACATCGGAGAAAATGGCAGTATTTTCTCCACTGATCTAAATTCTCAGTCAATTTTGATAAATTTTCGAACCACTGAATCAGATGATCTCTCGGGCCCGACCCAAGCAACTGTGAGCCACCAACTGATTCTAACACAAAACAACTGCTCTTCACCTCACGGTGCCACTTTATAGGGCGATTATCTTTTCGTTTTTCTTATCTAGTCCCCGGGTAAAATGAAAGGTATAAGAACCGTTGATATAACATTCGTCGCAGGTGTCCAAGCCACTTATGCCTCCACCACCACTAGGAACATTATCAGTGATAGGAGGTAGCTCTGCCTTGTTTCTGTCTTCACTTCACCGGCTTTTGTGAGCTCTCCATTGTGAATCACTTGGCATCTGCCATTATTATATAGCTGTTGACTGTGGTTTACAAAGGTTTGGGTTACTGTTCTACCTAGTGTTAAAGTGGTTGCCAAATGACTTCGCAGTCGATGCTGTAGAGAGCTTTTTCAAAGTTGAAGTTATGAAATGACTCTCATTCTGGTTTGTGTTCAGTGTTGATGCATAGTGTTGTAAATTGTTCTACACATGAAATTTTTTCACTGAATCCAGCCTATTACTAGTGGTCTTTCATCCACTGCATCTGTTGTTCTTTCCGGGATAATGTGATCCGGTATATTGCTAAAGGTGGACTGGGGAACGATTCTGTGTCTGTCCTTGCATAGGATTAAGTCTCCCTTTGGCAGTTTGCTCAGCTAGGCTTCCTTCCAACTGGTGGGTACATTTCCTACCTTCATTCCACACCTTATGCAGTGTTAACATGAGTATCTTCGCTGATGTATGTGGTTCCGTTTTCAGTGCTTCTAGCCCTGCTGCTTTTATGGTTGTCACCAACTTTATGGTGTTCTAGGCTTCTGATTTAGTCGAAGCGTTAGTGTTCACTGGTAATTCTGTGTCTGCCGCTGTTGGTGGTATTTCTGGATGAATTGTAGGTACTGGTAGACTTAAATGTCGTTTGAATTGATTACGCTGATATTTCCTGTTTCTCATCGTTTTCGCTAAACGCGTCTTCTTTACTATTGTTTATCGGCTTTATCTGCTTTGATCTCTTCCTGGATAGCTATATATTTATTTTTTATAGTGTTGTTAGGTGTCTCTTAAGTGTAGAATATTCTACTTCAGTTGCTAGCGAATCATAAAAGCGTCCTTTGGCTTTCCTGCCACTCTTCTTTACTCCTTTTTTCAGTGTGCTGCAGATTATACTCAGCTGCTTCTTTTACTGTTCATCTTCTCACTAATTCATGTTCTGTTACCCCGTTCTTTCGTCCCCTATCAGCTTCTGAGTCTCGGTAGAGTCATTCCTTATCTTGCCTCTTCTTGTTGCCTAAGATGTCCTTACAGGTTTATTTCCATAATGCTTTCAGAGATTTCTAGTGTTGTTCCGCGCAGGTCTCTTCTGTGACGCTGCTTAGTGTCTGGAACTTTTCCTGAACACAGGCTTGGAGGTGTCCTCCAGTTCCTGGGTTTTGAACTTGAATTGTAGTCTATCTACAGTTTCTTTAGAAGCTTACAACGTGATTTTGAAGGATTCTTACCCTAGATGATGGTCTGAACCCTCATGTGCTCTTCTTCTATATATTGTGTCCACCAGTCTTCGTCTCCACTTCCTTCAGATTAAGATAAAGTTTTTCTTATTTTTGCTGAAGCCCAAATCGCCTTTTCCATATCCTCATGCTTGTACATCCTCCCTCCTATCACCAAATCATTGAAAACCCAGAAGTCTGCAAATAGTTCCCCCACTCCCTTCAGTCATTTTATACTGCGTACCTATCGATCCTGTGTTTTCTGCTCCCAGTCTGTTTAGTATTCACATCATCCAATAGGGTTATGAAGTCGCCATTTGGAATCTTGTCTATTACTTTTTGCAATTATGTGTAGAATTCTTCCCTTTGCTCCACTGGGTTTGCGTTGTTAGTAGAGGGCATAGAATTGGATAATTATGACTTTCCTTCCTTCCTTTTAAGTTAAGTCTTGGTGCTGTGATCCTGGAGGAGCTTGACTTCCATTGTATGAGAGCTTTCGTGCTGTTGGTGATATCACGACAGCCACACCCTCACTGTGTTCGCGTTTTTCATCTGACTGGAATATATGATTAACTCTCCGGTTATCAATTTGGGGGTTATTTTATATTTCATCTGCTCTTACAGATTGAGAGGCCTTCCTTATTCCAGAAAAGAACAAGCGTATTTTCCTCTGCTTTGAAGTTCTAGCAGCCTTGAGGGTCTTTCCTCAGAGCAGTTCACTAGCACCGTGTCAAACTTTCCCTCTTTTATGGGCTTAGAACCTGCTGGGAAACTAGGCTGATCTCTGTTACACACACCAGGGGGAGTCCATCTAAGAGACGCTCATAAACCTTAAAATTTGTGGTACAACCAAGATAAGATCGGGAGACATCGACTCATGTCATCAAGCGTTAATAAGTACTGGATTTGATTGCATATTGCACTTTTTGGCAACTCCGAAAATCAAAGTCTTGAACCAATCAACAACCAAAACATTTAGTATCACATTAGTCGTGAAACAAACTGCCTTCATAATATTATTATTACTGTATGATAAATCTTGTCTCATAAGTGGCCGTCACATACACTGAAAGCTGTTTGAAATACTTCCTAACTAGGTACTCATCTGATTTTCCGCCATAGCTGCTGTCCGAAGATATTGGTGATATCCAGTGCTGTGTCGACTGTTAACCACACTAGATGATCACTCACACGAACTCATATACTCTCAGACAGCACGTGCATAAATATTACAAGGAGCTAAGAAGCTAAGCGAATTACTTAGTCTTTGAGAATCAGGTCTACATCTGCTCTCGGGGTATGGCCGTTGTGGATGTCATTGTGTGTTGCTGGCGAAATCTGCATTTGTAACCAAAGTTGTTACAGTCTGGGAATCAATATTGCTACCATGAACGACATGTCAGGATGATGGAGGAGACTTCTCTGAAATAGGAAGATTCACGTTGAGATTAGAACCAGGGGGACTCTGATCAGAAAGTAGTCTAAAGATGGAGAATATATCTGACGAAATGCGTCTACCTCAGAACCCCTCCAGTATCTAGAGCGAGTTGAACTAATTTTCTGCTGATGGTTTGTCAGTTGTTGACATTCAGCAGATATGATTCTTGGTGTTACTGTTGAATATTATCCCGAGCGTTTCAACAGCTGCATTCTGATGTCAGTGGACTTGTGTGACTGTAGCCTTCAGACGAGCATTAACGATTTGAATCGATTATCCATCAAAGATTTCAGTCTAAGTCGTCCACATTCACGATTAAAGATACCAAGATGAGTGAGATAATCACCATTCTCCCTCATGATCACCTTCACATAGGAGCATATCGACAGATAAAGAGGTGTGAATGATCCCCGAAATCTTATCTCAGTGCTTGTATTGAGGTGTGGAAGGTGCTCTGGCATGGATTTTGTGTCAGAATGATACTGTATGTAATATTAGTGAAGTTCAAATGGATCCAACTGTCATGTTGGGAGATGCACTTTAAGAGGATAATTTTTAACCAGCAGTATCTGCTTTGAAGTAGTCTCTGTAGCTCCTGAACCAAGTATCACATGTCATCTGGATCATGGCGACATTCAGTGGTTCCACTAGTAATTCGATTTACTTCTGTGTATACTAAAGCCAAATCGATCAATGGTCGTGTGCGTTGTGCAACAGTTTCCCTGACATTTCCTTATGTTTGTGACGTGGCCGTTGAAATATGATGATTTGAAGAGACTAGATGTCTTTCGTTATAGGTGTTTGCGTTGCATCTCTCGTGCTAAATGGTAAAATATTTTGAATGATAATAATAAGGTTAGGAGTAAAGTTTCAGGTTGTGAAGCTGCACTGATTGAGATGTCTAGGCCATCAGTTTGCTCGACAAGCATCGTTAGCTGAAATTTGATCAGATTGTCAAACAGTTTCATGTGGACAAATCAAGACATGTGGTCATTCCGCCATATTTGTGATTGTTGGTTTGAGTCAAGTAAGGAGGCTATTATTGTTGACCCATAAGCATGTATACAGTATATTTCTTCTTGGTGTTTCGCTCTTTGTATGTTATGTGGAGTGTGTTTCCTAGAACTGCTGCAGTTTTGTGCAGAGTTCCACGTCAGCAACCCAGTCACTAGCAGATTTAGTAGTTTGAAAAAAATTGACCATTGGGTATATGATATTATTGTAAAAAGCAATTTGTATTTCCCAAATGTCATTTTTTGGAAAATGCAAAACTTTCTACAGTATTCAGTCAGTCTTCGAGTTTATTGATACGGAGCTAGCGTAGAGATTATTGGACACTCAAAATTATTCAGTCAGTAGTGAACTGTATAATTTCCATTTGATATCCACGGAATCTGTCCGACTTCGATGAATCTAATGTTTCCGTCACCAGTTGCACATTTCTTCAAGTTATTGCTTGCTTACTCCTATTTTCGCACTTAACATTCTTTCGTCTTCTCTCATGCTTACCAGCTGCAAGTGAGATGTTTCGAATGGATAAATTCGCCAAGGTAATTACACATTTCATCTGTTTTTCACTAGCGTTATACAAGCACTAGTTGATTTTCGTCGCTGCCACTCTATTGAGAACACACTCCGAAATTGTAGGAATGGTTGCATTCACTCACTAGAGAGAAATACAAGAATGTGTTAATCAGTATGTAATAATGGTCCTAGGTGAGAAGCTTTATTTTCAAAAGAGAAACACTTGGACTGAGCAAGTCACTTAGCTGTATTGTAGATATTCCCTATTGTTTCAAATATCATTATTTTAACTAAGGATATGCATTCATGGTTAACACTTGTTATAAACGAATAATATTTGAATGATTTAATTATTTTAGGATAGTCCTCTGTTATTTGTTTGAATAAAAACCACAAGTATTTCTATTTTTTTTATAGTTACAACATTTAATGGAGTACCATAAGAGTCAAACTGAAAGCAACAACCAACAGTTGTCATCTGAAGTAATCAATGAAAATTCCAAAGGGAAATTAAAACTGAAAGCTTCTAGAAGAAACGTTAGCGGGAATAAAACTGAAGTCAAAGAATGCATTAAAATAGATCAAAATACTGATGACTTTGTGTGAAATTTACTCCTTTATTCAGGTTTATGATAATCTTCAGCATAAATAATTTATTATAAATAAAATATTGTTGTTTCTATTGCCCGTTTTCAGTTTCAACGGCCTTCGTCTTACTGGATTCGATTGACTAGCGCTTATTGCAATATGATATTCTGGTGCATAAAATTTTTTACCATTTACGTGATGTTCTCTTTGACTCAGACCTAAGTCCCAATGTCAGTACTCATTAAGATTTCAGATGCACCAGGTTCATCAGTACCAGACAGTATGAAATATACGGAATATTATGACTGACTGGTTTCAACATAGAACTTTGCACCGATGTGCAGCAGTTCTAGTCGTCGCACCTCACTTAGCAGACAAAGCAAGAGAAGAAAGTAAAAAGAAACGCAACATAGAGGCAGTAAACGGAGATATGAGGCAGAAGGAACAGTAATATCGAAGAACAATATAGTTCCATTGGGTATTATAAGTCACAAAGAGTGGATGCATCTGCGCTAGCCATTGAGAACGATCACTTTGAGCCATATCACCAATTGTCTCCAGCCTTCATTGGTTTTTACCAGCCCTTGCACCCAACCAGCCAAGAAGTCTACATCTCCCAACGTGAATGGCTTAAACTAACTGTTGTGGATTTCACTGACTGATGAAGCCATGTTTTGGTTCGACCACCACCGCCACTGGCTCTTTTCCAACTTGACCCATCCTATGTCGGCTAACATTGCCCATTGTCGAGGAAGGCGGTGGCTAGACATGCATACGTAACACTTGTCCTAATGAAATCAGTCGATGTAGCTTCACAGCCTCGTCTATTGATATCCCCTCCCTCCTTACCTAGCACTCGACAGAGGCCTAACACCAGTATTGCTCACCCTATTATACCACCATCCGAAACGGGAGATAGGACTCAGGCACCTATGATCAGAGACTGCTAGCCAGGCTTTTCATGTGTTCCACTCTCAATGGCCAGGTCTCACAGCCATGAAGGAGGACGGAGCGGACTGCTGAGCAGTAGACATGCCCTTTGGTCGACCGCCAGCCGGATATCATGTCTACTAAGCCAGACAAGGTGTAAACTGGCATTTCCGAAACGAACCTGTGTGTCTCCGAAACACACCATACATCCATGGCTCGAGATGCCAGAATTCTTGCTAGTGATGCCTGTTGTCCGATTTGGAAGAGGGTCATGACGTTGGATGCTCCTATATGAAGTTGGTGGTGTGGCTTTCAAAGGCTGTCAGGGGTGTTTCTATGGCTCTCATCGTTGTTTGTGGTCACAGAGTGAAGTGAAGATGACTCACTAGTCTGAAGAATAGTACCGACTGTAGTGGGGGGAGGGGTGATGATGAAAGTGACGTGGATAAACGAGAATGACGCTGAGGAAGGCTTCGTGCGCTTTTGGAAGTGTGTGGGCGACTGTTACTTCCCGGCTGCCCACACCGTGGAAGTTGATTGATTCTTCGGGTATTTGAAACAGAAAGAGAGTTAGTGTTGTGTGACCGCAGAGCCCGGGGGAAAACTGCTTGTGGCCGGTCGGTCACACACGATCTGTATGAACTGGTTTCTTGGTTTGGTTCCGTATCAGTAAACTAATCGCCGGTTACGGACCACCGTAGGGTAAGTCGGGATGTACAATTTTTCGGGTTTACCTCTTCTAATGCCCTCTCCCCAGAAAGGAGAGACATCACTCTGACGATTCGGGTTATTTATAGAAGTCCTGGCAGCCAAGCTGATGATTTCGTAATAAATTAGCTCAGTTCGTGGACTAGTGTGTGACTTTAATGCCCCACATATTAACTGGGAGGAATTAACGTCAACTAGCTCTTACACTTGTTTCAACACAGAACTCATACCGACAGTGCTTGAATGCGCACTTGTGCAGAATATACATGCACGAACATGATGTCACCCTGAACATGATCCGTCCACTCTAGCCTTAGTGCTAACACACCAGAAGGGAGGATGTCGGTGACATTAGGTGCTTATCCGCCAAATCAGGTGCCCTCCAGCTCTAGGCAATAGTGACCATATGGTTATCACTTTTGCGTCTCAGACTCACGCTGCCATACATAGGTCAACAGCTGCTCGTTCAAACATTTGGAAAGCGAATATACCTGCAATCCAAAATGCAGCAACCTTGGCTAACTGGTCAGTTGATACAAATCGGACTGCCAAGGAAGCCTGGGTGGGCTTTAGGAACACACTAGATAGCGTAACTGCGTCGATTGTGCCTTGCTCTACACCTCAAAAGCTGTCGCATAAACCACCTTGGATTAGTAATGAAGTGGGGAAGTTATCAAGACAGCGAAAGAACTTATGTGGCCGGCTTACTGTGAGAGGGAGGAAGGAGTTTTGGATGAACTACAGCAAAATTCAAAACCTTTGTAAGTATATAACCGACAAAAGTCGAATAGAGTATGAGAGAGAGTTAGTACTGGGAAAAGACGCAGTGGTTCTCAATCTACTGTCTAAACTGAAGCCCGGTAAATTACATGCACTCGATGGACTTCACCCTAGACTGCTAATCTCCTAGGCTGATGTAATATACATTCAACTTACCGAAAGTTTTGCAATGTCTCTAACCTAGGCTAGCCTATCCAGGGACTAGAGGGATGAAATTATAAGGCATTTGGTATCTAAGTACCGCCATGCAAGTCTGACCTGCATTATAGCAAATGAATAGGAGACAATCATAAGGGATCAACTCTTAGCTCATATAGAGAAACATGGCTTACTGGCAGTGAGACAGAATGGATTCCGACCAGGACGATCCTGTCGGACAAACTCACCGTTAGATTGGGTCGAAGCCAGGGATAAGGACCTGCTATTGGACGTCGTCCGTATCGATCTTAGTAAAGCGTTCGATAAGGTATCCCATTTGGGTATCCTCAGTTAACTCGAAGGTTTCTGACTAGACCAACGCCTATGTGAGTGGTTTAGCGACTACCTGGTGGATAAAACTCAGAAGGTAAGGGTTAATTGTGTACTGTCATGGTGGAAAGCAGTACTGAGTGGAGTGCCTCAGAGAACTGTACTCACCCCCTGTTATTCATATTATTCGTAAATGAACTGCTGAAAATTCTTACATCATCATCTTTATTACTTGCGGACGATATAAAGATATGGAAAACAGTGAATAATAATGATGATAAGTTGGTACCACTATAAGACGATCTAGATAAATTAGCTGGATGGGCTAACCTCTGGAGTGTGGAAATTAATTCCCAGAAAAGCGCGATAATGTACCTAGGTCAGAAATCTTACACGTCGTACTCCGTGGGGTACACAGAACTGTTAGATGTTAAGGGACGAAAGGACTCAGGAGTTATTGTAATCCATGACTTAACGACAAATTCCAATGGAACCACAGCCAAGGCTTCACGAATGCTATGGCCACTTCGAAGGCCTTCCAAGCGATTAGACGAGTGTATGTTCCAAGTATTCTGTGTAACATATGTCAGGCCTCATCTTGAACACTGTATACAAGCGGTGATTCTATGCCTCAAGAAGGAGACACATATTCTGGACAGAATACGGAGGGTAGGAACCAAATTAGTAAGTGATATCTCACATCTTCTTAATGATAAGAAAATGGGGCATTTGAACCTCTTCCTATTATCATACCGAGGGAGGAGAGTCGACTTAATTTTGATATGCCGTATATTAAATGGTGATTCAGGGATTGATCTTTCCAATCTTCTTCTAGGATAAATTTACGAGGTCGAATAAAATACATGTGGGATTTAGATTCTCTCACAGGGACGTCAACGGCTGGGTCTCCTTAATTGATTGAGTGGCGATAGCTCCATCAGTGTACCCTTTAAAAGAGTAATTGGATTCCTCCTAGAATATATATTGCACGGATTAACATAGCCATTAAAAGCCTTCTATCCTTATCATCTGAATCTGAAACCACGTTTCTAGAGTCTTTATTTTCGATAAGTGAAACGTCAAAAGCATCCTGTTATCCTCATCATTATACATGTTTCAGTTACGTACATCATTACTGCCACGCCTAACACAATTAGAATAGTATGGTGAATTTTACGGAATATTGATGCTAAATGTCGGACAATGATACCTTCACTCCAGTTTACTTTACTTAGTCATGAATAACACTGTTTGTGGAAATATATTACTCAGTGATCTTGTCTTCATTCCGTCAAACAAGGGTTTAAATGAAGTGATTTTATGAATCAACAAGATTCACTTCATGTAACCTAGTCAACAAGCTCTACATTTATCCACACACGCATAGACTTATCAAAAATTTCAGTTTTATCTTTTCTCCTGTTACAAAGCTAGTGGAAGTTATGGGTGCATTATTCTTACTGAAACATTGTAGGCTGTGACAGTGTAAGGAAATGTAAGGATGATACACATGAGAGGTTGTGATAGATGTCTGTATTGTAATGTCTGTATTCTCTTACACTCCGAAGGTACAATCTAATTTCCACTGTAAACACGTTATCTAGGTTATGGTAAATATTCATCCCAATGAAAACTTTAACTTTCCAAATCTTATGATTTCACACATTCTTCTGTTGAAATACATATGCACATAGGCATTAACTCCAGTTTAATATACAACTGTATCATATTCGTATTAACCACCAACTACAATGTACGCTAGGTACTAAAATGTGATGACGACGTTGCATAGTCACGATCGATGACTGAGACAGACGAAAGCAAGGCAAAGCTATCAAGTAATAGCCGGTTTCCGATCTTTATATAACCTCCAGTACAGTTATAGAGCACTTAATGTGAAGTCCACTATAGCAGCTGCACAAGAAGAAAATGAATACAAACATCTAGTGAATATTCGATATCTGGTGAATAGTCTTCAGATGTCCCGTCCATCTTCGGAAATATAAAAGCGATTTGTTTATACTTGGAAATCTGAATTAGACATAAATTGTTTGGTTCACGTGTGCAACGTGCAGTAGTTTTACATTATGGGCGAATAAGAACAGCTTGATCAAATAATTAACTTATCAATG